TCCCGGCTCCGGTCCCGGTCCCGCCGGCGTCCCGCGCGCGTCACGCGCCCCTAAAACTCGTGACCGGTCGCTCCGAAGCCGCGGAGGACGACGTGGCTGACGCCATGCTGGCTTCGAGCTCGCCGGAGTCTAACTCCCCCCCCCTCCTACTCCTCCTCCTCCTCGCACATCGCCCTCGCCATTCCTACCCTCCCACTCTCTTATCCGGGGGCTTACACGGCCGAACAGCAGAGCGGCTCCGGCAGCTTGTTGGCGACATCTTGCGTCGGCGTCTCCCTCCCGGTCGTCTATCTACCGTCGGTCACGTCGGCCGACGACTTACCTTCTTACCACCTAAGCAACCAACGCTGTCTCTGTCTGTTTCTGTTTCCGCGGCTCGGCTCGGCTCGGCTCGGGAAGAACGTTCGCGCACCGCCCACGCACACCTTCTCACCTGCTCGAGTCCGCGCCGTGACCGGCTCTCTTCCCCCCCTCACAACGTCATCACACGCCCGCACCTTTCCTCGTCCACACCTTATCCAATTTGCTTGACTATGAGTAAGATTTTATGGCTGAGAATAGCTCAGCCGTTCGTAAATTTTTTCCAATGCCCAATTATTAATTTACGAACTTTGATAGATCGATCGATCAATTATTAATTACAACTTTCATATGGATTTCCACTTAGGGATTTGAATATTCTTTTCTCTTTATCTCACTTACTTCTTCCGGTGCATTATCAAAAGTTTCCACCGTGCATGGACGCACACAAACACAAACGCAATTATACATATATATATATATATATATATATATGTAGATGAATTTTATTATATGCCGTACGGTTTTATCAGAGTACACTTTATTAATTCAATGAAGATGAATCGCTAAAAATTATGTTTACAAAAAGTTTTAAGTTTCGAGTTGGAAGTTTTAATTGACGAGTTGGGAGAAAAATAGAAGTGCATAAGTAATGACGATTAGATAATGATTAGAATAATGCTAAAGAGCCTCTCTCTCTCATTGCACAAAGTATCGTTAATGACAAAAGCGCTATGACGAGGTATGTTTAATCCGGCTTGTTCCCGAATTTATTCGCTCTAATCGTCCAATTTTCCATCGTGACCATGAATAGCCATTGTAATTTCAATAAAAACTACCGCACATTGCAATAAGAATTCAATGGAGCCGATGTTAATGTTAGAAGTAATACGAAAAGGCGAGAGCAGGGAAAATCTCGACGTCTTACTTCGCACTCACCGGCTACAAGTCATATAACCAAGCACTCGCGATATCGAATATCCGTTATTTTCTGACGCGCCAAGATGGAAAAAGTCGGAGAAATAAAAAATAAATTTGGAAGGTGGGGCGCGTCGCACTAGAGTAATGTCTGGTTGGTTTTTTCCAGCGTGTGGGGTGCCAATAAGTAAGGGAAGGGAGAGCGAAGGGTTAAACGAGGCGATTGATTTATTTATCAAAGTAAAATTTATTCCTTATGAAAAAAGAGGAAAGGAAGATGAAAAGGAAGAAGAAGAAGAAGAAGAAGAGGAAGAAGTAGAAGAGAAGTAGAAGAAGAAGAAGAAGAAGAAGAAGAAGAAGAAGAAGAAGAAGATAAGAAAAAGATGAAGATGAAGAAGAAGAAGAAGTAGACAAAAACCAAGAGAGAGAAAGAGAGAGAGAGAGAGAGAGAGAGAGAGAGAGAGAGAGAGAGAGAGAGGCATGAGAGCAGCTGTGCATCCCTCAATGTCGGCAGCTCGTGTACATCTTGCCATCCAGGAGCATCCGGTGCACGAGGCGCTTGTTGCCCTCGATGTTAGCGTCGTTGTCACCGGCCCCTTCTTGCTCCGTTGCTAAAGCCATCTGCACGTACTTTTTATTGGAGGGGGGTAGATACTCCGGGAACTGGACATCGAAATCGATTATTAACTTGCCGCGGCGCTCCGGATCCTCGACCAACGGCAGACCCTCGCCCGATATTGTTTTCACGTACTTCGGTCTGCAAAGGTACTCTTTCAGCTTAACTGATTTTGCATTTTATCCGTTCGATGCGCATCCTCTGATATTGTGATAATGTAATGTACCAACGACATGTCAATCAAATTTAATGTGCATTTTATAATGTTGCGCTCGGGGAAATCATTATAATCAGAAGCTCCGTTCAACATTACTTTGTAAAACTAATTACTAATATATTACCTTGCCGTTGAAATTTAATTGTTTATAATATCCAATTATAATTGATAAGATCTTCGAGCTTAGGAAGGTCATATTCTTAAGTGACATATTAATATTGTAATTTTAGCTTTTGCCTAAAGCCAATTCCGCGGCAGATTATTTATTTATTAATCTATGTAGTAACGAAGTGGAGAATTGTGCTAATACGTCCATTACGTAAATCATTATAAAAAAAAAAAAAAAAAAAAAGAAGTAAAAAAAGAAAGACAAAAAAACACTGCCAGTAGTTTTAGTATTGCTGGTAGTAGTAGTAGTATTAGTAGTAGTAGTAGTAGTAGTAGTGGCAATAGTGGTAGTGGCAATAGTGGTAGTGGTAATATCATAAAAGTAAAAAATTATAAATAAAATTTTCCGTATTTTTCAACGTGTAAATTATTCGATTATTTAAGTCGTTTGCTTTCGAGACAAACTATTATATCAAAGTAACTTGCAATTATCGAGCATCGCGATCCTCAGCAATTAAAAGAAATCTTATTTAAAGGCTAAGTCACTTAGGTTTGTTCGAGCATGACGAGATTAAGCTGCCATTTATTATGATTTATTCCGAAAGAATCTCTATCGTTCCTTCATTCAATATCCACAATTGACAACGAACGATCCTCCATTACTCGCAGAATAAAGTGAGAGCAAATTTTCTCGCTCAACTTTTTTTTTTTATCCGCGTTAAGCATCGTGCATAAATAGGTGTAAAAGAAATAGAAGAGGAAAACGGAGAAGAAAAAAAGAAAAAAAGTGTCGCTTCCTTTGGCAGTGTTCGATCGAGTGAAGCCGATAAACAACATTGAAATAATAAAAATAATACTTGGCAATATGTGCTCGACATGACGCGAGTGTTAATTAAATGAATCCCTTGTGAAAAAGAAAACTATTCTACGCGGCAGTAATTGCCTTCTCTCCCATTGGCGGACAATTGCGTCGACCAAGATCACCGCACCTAGCCTAACCATTATTTCAACTTGAAATGCAAATTTCAAATAATATCCCAGCCGACGATAACATGCCCCCGGTATTCCACTGCCGATTACCGATCGACGAGTGTCTACGTGTAAAAAAATAATCGGCCATTTACATCGATACGCGTAAGCATTAGTTCCCGGGCAATGAGTTACTCACGAGATGACGGACGTAATGGGGACGCGGAGAATTCGCTCGTCGATGGTATTGACGGTGACGATAGTCCCGGTTAAGGCCTCGCTCAGGGCCACTTTAACCGTCATCCTTAGATCCGAGCCCTCCCTCTTGAATGTCTCGTGCGGCTTGTCCTCCGTCATGAATATCACATCCGCTGTAAAATGTAAAATGGAAGCCTTTCCTAAGTATTTCAGGGATATCAATGCACACAACGGCTGAATTTTACCCTTTTTTCCCTTAGTTTTTTTTTTCTCTTTAAAGCCAGACAAAGAGAGAGAGAGAGAGAGAGAGAGAGAGAGAGAGAGAGAGAAAGAGAGAGCATTCGATCGTTTTCTTTTATCATTTGACATTCGATGTGCAATTGAGTCTGCTGAGCACCTCGTCTATTACATAGATCGCTTTTATAACGAAAAATATACGCTGGAGTGCCGTTATTATATAGCGCCGTTGCTTATCCGATTGAGATGGGGACAACCAAACTTACTTCGTGGTTACGAAATGACAATATTCAGAGGAATAACTTTCTTGAGCTTTCTTCCTCAATGGTTTTAAGCAGATTTTCATGCTTATTTACGCTAAGTTCAAGAACAATAAGGCTATTGTAGTCGTGGATATGAAAGTGAAAGGTTCTAGGATTTAGGAACATTTTATTCTACATTATAAACAAGATAAGGAGGCTGTGTTTCAAATACGGCAATACGAATATTGTTTCTTTTATGTTGTTTCTTTCTTTTTCGCCCATCAAAATAGATAGGTAAGCAAGTTAAATAGAAATTGGGCAATGACAATTAAGCCACGGAGACTAATAATATTCTTTGATTGTTAATTTATGGTGTTTTTTTTTTTTTTTTTGTTTTTGTTTTTGTTTTTGTTTTGTTTGTATACTCATGCATTTCATAATATGGCTATTTAATTTTCATAAAAAAAAAAAAGAAAAAAAATTGCCCAGCTCGTATCGACTTATTAAGCATTTTGTGAAATTAGTATGAAGCGTCGATAATTATTCTTTATCACTTTGAACAATATATGTTGATAAAATTAGTATTAAGTGGCATGTTAAAAGCTTTAGCAGTACGATGTACTTTAACGTTTCAATAACGCCTTGCATAATATAATGCAAATTTAAGGATTCAATTTAAGATTAAACATCGCGTGATTAAACCATTTAATTCGTTAATGTAACCAAGAAAATTGTTAGGTTAAGATATTAAATCCGTAAGAGCTACAAATGTAAATAAAAACTTTTAATAGAGCCTCTTGCAATTATCGATTAATATAATGTCGTCTAATGGGCAATTGTTTGGCGCGAATAGGTGACGCGTTGCTTAGTAGAAAAATGTATAAAATTTCCACAATTCATTCGGTCCAGTTAGAATTCCGTACCGAAAATTAAAAGTTCATGCTCTTTTTTTTTTTGTGTTCTTCTGGTAATATGAAAATCAGATAAGACTATGTGCATAAAGGTAATGAAAAATCCTTAAATAGATATTTCGCAGCGTATAAAAGAAATTAAGATTTCACAACGGTAGAGAAATCACAGTGGAAGGAAATGCGATTTAAGGTAAGATGTAAGGAAAAAAATATTTGCAGAAAAAAACATAGAGAAAAGTAGGGACATAAGAATCTCACCGGGAATTTTCGTCGGTCCTTGATCGCCTTCCTCAGGGAAGACGATTTTCGCTCCCGGAGGCATTCCCGGCATTATCGGTATAGAGAGAATTTTTTCCTCCAAAGCTGTCGACGGCGCCGTCTCTTTGTTGTTCTCTCCCACGAGAACGATCCGTTGGATCTTCATTTTCTTTATTCCGCCGTAAAAGACCTGCGCGCAAAACCATTCAAATATTTATGTCCTGCACCTTACGGACCCGCTTGCATACTTTCCACTTTTCTCCTCTTCCACAAAGATTGTAAACATTATATTAAAGAGGTTGAGAATGCAAAGCCAACTCGAATGGAATGGAGTTTGTTATCAATATGTTGTTTTGCTTTTGTCTTTTTGTTTCTTGTTTTTTTATACCGAACCTTTTTTTGTTTTTATGCCCATTTATACCGAATCGTTCGTTATTTGCTCGGTAAATCTGTGATTGTCTCCTTGGAGCAGTAAAATCGTTTATTGTATCGTTTATTGTACAGTATAATCGTTTATTAATCGAATAATCAGATAAGTCGTTATATTTTATCAGAATGCTGAAGTATTTTGTATTATGTTCTTAAGGATTTGAATGTTGAAACAGCGAGGATTAACTAAACTGGGGTGATTCGAGCAAGGTATTTTAATTTTTTATTTGAACGCTGGAGAGAAAATAAGGGGAAAAAATTTGTTTGAATAGACGCTCTTTCAGGAATCTTCTTTTGACTAGGTAATAAGTACTTCCTTATAATGTCTTTGTCAGCCTGTATTTTTGTATTGATATTGTTTAACGCAGTATAAGTGCAACTAATAGCTTAAAACAAATGTTGAAATTTATTTACAATTCCTTAAACTGCAACGACACTCTGCACATTTCTATGGCTGTTTTACAAAATAATTACCAGTTTAAGCTCGACATTTTTCTCGATATTTTTGTTTGTCTTTGTAATCGTTGTTATAAGCAGTTAAGTCTCGTGCAGTTAAGTCACATACGACAAATTGAAATAAACTTATTATTTACTCTATCGTTATAGATCTTTGAGTTGCATTTTACCTTAAGAGTATGGATTAAGGAAAGTAATGCCCAAGAATTAACGAGAACTCTTTAAAAGGACTTAAAAAGGCAAGAGTAATTGTACGAGCCTTTTTGTAATATTTCGTAAAAGCAAGAGACAAAACAAAAAAACAATAACAAAAACAAAAACAGAAAAGAAAAGAAAAACAAGAAAAACCAAAGTAATTATATGAATGAAATCTTATAATACTGGCCTCGTTCAATGTTAATGGAAGTGCCTTTATTATAGGTTCATCCTTTTTCTTTATCGGAGCTTCTGGGCAATCTTCGAGCGGCACTGGACTTCGCAAGTTATCGAGGATATCAGCGTAAGGGTTTTCAGTTCCAAAGAATTCTCTATACCAGGATGAGAAAATCCGTTACGATTACTTTGAGCTTTGCAGTTTATAAGAGCGACATAAGCGTGATAACTACGGCGAGAAAGATAAAGCTTTATTTCGGATGTTACGTAGCGTCTTAACAATAATTATTTGTACACTATGTATTATCATGGATTTATTGTATTCTTGCGGCACAATCATTATATCTTAATACATTTGATTTTTAAACTATAAAAATGGGGATTTCTTATCAATAATAATTATAATGAAAAATGAGAATATTCGTTCCAATTTTTTTTCTCTCTTTTTTTTTATTTAAGCTATTTTTCAATTTTTCAACATTGTGTATGAACTGATTTTCCCCACATGAAACTGCAAACCTCGATAAGAAGAAAATATATTTATGAAAAATTATCGAGTCATATTAGCGATTAGAGGAAACAGCATTATATGATATATTCAACGAATTGAGAGTTCTTATACTGAACGCCAATTGGCAATTAATATTCTAATATTATATCGATGTATTCTACTTTATACTACATTTCATTTATTGCGTAATGCTAAAAATGCTTATCTCATCTTCTTACTAGATTATTTTAAATGAAATATAGATTAAAATATTATATTCGTTTAGTGTATTTGTCTCCGCCTGTTTTCAACTCAATGCAACGCACGAATATTTATCTGATATCGTATTCAGCATTTTCAGCGACTCCTGTGACACTTTGCAGAATTCACGTTCCATTAACATTTATCCGAAAAAACTAATGGAATTTAGAATAAATAAACTAGCGGAGAATAAATAATATAATGCATAATATGAAAATTTATATAAATTCTTTTTTATTCGATAACACTAATACTATCAATGCTCGCGTTTAAGTAAAATATGAACTGGCGCTTAAAAAGAAAATAAAAATGACAAGTTGAATTTCGATTAACAAGCTTCTGCCAGAAGGCAATTGCTAATTAGAACAAGATTCAGTTTCTAATTGACTTTATAAGTTTTTTTTTTTTTTTATAAAATTAACCGAAAGAAAATTATCGCAAAAAAGTGTTTTAATTATAAATAAAACTAAGAGGCCGTTTAATTCATTTTATGATACTATGCGCAAGAATAAAGGTAATGTACTGCTAAGTCAACTTTTTAATTATATTTCTTGTTTTTAGAAAATTACATTAAATCATTTGCAATCACGAGATGAGTGAAAGAAAAGTCGGCACGATTTTTAAACAAAATTCTGTACTGAGATTAACAAATGGAAAAGCTACAGACCGATATAATTAAAACTTAAAATAATTCTGCTTATTAAGGTAAATAGTTTTTTTTTGTAAACAACAAGGAACAAGATATTCTATTGTATTGTTTTATACAAATTCTTTCCAATATATATATATATATATATATATATATATATATATATATATATTACGAATACTGATTACATATAATAAAAATTAATATAATAAAAACTGATAAAAATTTACGAATTAGACAAAAAAATTGTGATAAGTGAGAGATCTGTCTCATCCGTATCCGCACTCTGATTTTTAATTTGAAGTATCTTGAAGGATTGTTACAAAAAGATTGTCGATATGGAGAAACAGGATTTCTGCATTTTCATGCATTGCAATGAGTATTTATCAGAGAGAATATGATATCGCACAGATCGCAATAGCTTAGAAAAATATTCCGTAAACAACAGTGGAAAATAGTGCGATTGCGTTTGAATGGACACTTATCGTAAAAATCCGAGCATCGTCAAGCAAGGATCTGCAAAAGACAGGATAAAGTCCGAAGGCTTCGTTACGAACTTGATGATATATTGCTTTATTAGAGCTAAAAAGGACTAAAGCATTTGCCATATTTGCCTCGTATCCTATATCGAGAATAATAGTCTACCGATAAGTTTGGAGGGGCTCGCCATGGAAAACGTAGGGTGGCACGCATCCATCGGGTCCACGAAATTTCTTTTTGAGCTTTGCCTCGCCGAATTGATCGTAGATCGCCCTGTAGAGGTGATTCGAGAGGACTTCGTAAGCCTCGGCGATGATGGCAAACGCAGAGTGTTGGGCATCGCAAGTCCCGCTGACCCGGACGTTCGAAGTGAGCCTCTCAGGATGGTAACGAAGCGACAGCCGTCGGAAGCTGAAACGTAAGGATCGCGAGGTTCAGTGAGGCCTTCCAGGTCCGTTCTATTATTTGCATCTTTTTTTTGTCTAGGTAATTTTTCCAAGACAACCTACACCCGCCGAATGTCTTATCGTAAACCTTGTAATTGCGATAATCAATGACGATGAATAGTATTAATAAAGTATTTGTTATAAGATTTTTTTTGGTGCTGGGAAACATGCACTTTGATAAATATTGACATTTAAAAATGCAGGAATAAATAATTAAACGATTTCAAAAGCAATCTATTTATTGATTAAGTTTAATTATTAATATGCAATTTGTACGCTTGATAGTGATATTGCTTATTGTAGCTGTCAATAATGTTGTTTTTTTTTTTGTTTTTGTCTTTCTGAAATCGAGCGTTACCTGAAAGCTCTTTATCTATGCTGAAGTCTCGATTCGTATCCTAATAATTTAATCAGGTGTGGTTTTTTTGTTTTTGTTGTTTTACAACTCGTGTGCATTATCATTATCACTGCTTTAAATTCGCGAGTGAGTAAATTATTCATAGCACGGATTTTTATTTGAAAAACACGATAAAATTATGTGAAGATATACGTACCTGTCAATTTAAAAGCATCGATGAGCTAAATGATATCATTGATGATATCTATAAAAAAAGTTCTAGATTATCGATAAAAAGTTAAGCGCAATTGAAATCGTTATACATATGAAGATATTTAAGATCGATTGCATTGGCATTGGCTATCGAATGACTTTCAACTTGTTCGTAAACTTCGCTTGCGTTAGCATTAAAAATTATGGCGAATAACGCGGCTAAAATAAATATACGTCAAACGCTTTAAACGTTTCGTCGCTAGATTTTTCCTTTAAAGCCATTCCATCGCTATAAAATAATTGAGTTACAACGAAATGTAAAACTATTATCGAGCACAAAGCTCCCATATATATGATTCTACCCACTGGTTTCTTTATTAATATTCACTTTAAAAAGCCTTAGTAAAAAAAGTCTAGGTATATCATTATCTTTCACTCAGGGAGATAATATAATGAAGTTTTCAATGAAGCGGAGCATGAAACGCCTAGGTCGACCTTTGTTCCGAAGGAGATTTATCGCGCTGATGCACCTGCGCGAAGCGTAAGCAAGGGTTCGTCCAGCAGGTGGAATCGGCGAGTTGTATTAGTGCAGATTACTAGCCAGCGGGCTAAGGTTTCAGCTACGCACTTCTTTTCGACACTGGCAACATTCACACAGCACAAAAGCACAGGGAAAGAATGTCGATTTGGCGCTAATCGCGCGAGAGAATCTCTGGACGATGAAGTCGTTACTTGTCAGATTGTTCCTGGTTCCGCGGTAGGTACCGCCACAGCAGGACGAAGAGAACGATGAGGATGAGAAAACCCGGCTGGCCACCGTCGAGATATTCCATAATGCTGGAGCGACAGCCGCCCGCCGAGGAGTGATATCGTCGCGAATCGCACTGGCGCCTGCGCCTCGGCGTCTCGGCTCCACCACCACCAGCGGCAGCTACAGTGGCTACGTCGCGGACTTAATCGCGAGTTCATTTGGGCCGATCACCCGGACGCACGACTGCTCGAATTGCCGATTTATGTGAGAGTTAACGAGAGATAGATAGAGAGAGAGAGAGAGAGAGAGAGAGAGAGAGAGAGAGTGTGAGAGAGAGAGAGAGAGAGAGAAAGGGGGGGGGGAGTAAGCGGGTCTTGCGAGCAATCGATCGACACCGCCTCTTGCGCTATTACGCGCTCGAGAGCTTTGCCCGCTGACTTTTCACTCACGCTCGCTGTTATCATTAATCGTCGGATCATTTTCAGCCGGAATTATTAGCCAGAGCGAGCCGAATAATCTGTTTGAAAGGTTTTACGAACTTAGTTTGTGAGATTTTGGTACAACGCCCCCGTTAATGGATATGCGTTAATCGAACGGAGTGCTTTGAGCAAAGCGGCGAAAGGCTGGTAATCCAGGATTTCTGATAAAAAAATTTATAGTCAGCATTGTCAGAAATTAGAATTTCTTCGATGAAACTGTGTCTGCTTTATCGACATTTTGCCGTACTTTAAGACTTAAAAAATTAATTACTAAGTACGTTAATTATATTATGAAAATTAAGATATTTAGTGGATAATATGTATGCTAGGAATTCTTTTCGCACTTGTAATATGACAACTTGATTGTTATCAATAAAAAAAGAATACTGTAATTTTTGGGTCTCGTGAACGATCAACAAATTATTATTAACCGAAAAAAATTATGCTCTCTGCCACAATTACGAGACGTTTAATTTAATATTTTAAGAGCACTAGAAAATTGCTTAATTAAAGAAAAGTAATAAACGATCGATGTAAAATCTTATCGCATAACTGTTTACGTCGCATTCACCTGTCCATCGGCATAATGATCATCGGCATAAAGTAAAACAACAATAGCAGCCGGATAGAGCACGATTGTATTTATGATCGAGTAAATTATCATAGATAATTAGCCGTTGAGGTAAGTAAACTTCGAAGGAAAATCCGACGCCTTAATTCTTTTTACCGGGAAAACAATTTCGTCGATAAAATATCCCTTTGCGCATTACGCGAATAAAATGCAACTCTATCACGGTGTAACGGAACTTGCTACCTTCAATCTCGTTAAAAATGACTGCTTTTTAAGAGCACTATATGATAGATATAGTAGGTAAGATATAGGCAACGACATAAGTTCACGCCTTCAAGAACTCGTACAGTTTTTCCCACGCACACATGCGCAAGGCATTCTCAGGTAGACTATACCGTTCGTTCCACTTAATTATTCCTCTTATAATATCAACGTTAATTGGCTAAGTGACATGCAATTGATAAGTCAGATATTAATTCACATTCGAGGACATAAATTTCATGTGTTCTGTAATTTTATTCGTTATGAATAGACTTTTGCATACCAAAACACTATATTAAAGCATGTGTGCTATATTGTGTCGAGAGATGTAATTTGATATTACGTTAATTATATCCTCTTATATTATTAATTATTCTTGTTTATAATTTGAATATTTTACGCGTTTCGTTATAAAAATTCCATATCTTATAAGGGCTAATAAAGTATATTTGAGAAAATGTAAATTTGCTTGTATTGACAGTATATGGCTTAATTTGTAATTAGTTGTAATTAATTATTAACGATAAAAAGAAAGTATATCGATACTTCTAAATAATCGAATAACTTATTAAATTGAATTGAATCCAAGTGAAAATTATTTAATTTAATTGCATGGAAATACTCTTATTGTTTATTACTCTTAACGAAATCATTATAAATCGTACTTTGATTTTTTTTTTTTTTTTTTTTTTTTTTTTTTTTTTTTTATAGCACTGTTAGTACATATTTGGATAGTAAAATACAAAAAATCCCTTAAAGAAAAATTGTATCCACTTTTGTTACCATTTGCTAGTAGGAAGGAGTTAATTCAATATTTAAGCAACACTTTTGTTTAGAAATTTAGGATAAATAATAATTTTTCAATGTTAGTTAATGCACTGCATTATTTAAAGATATAATTTGAATGATTTACTCGTTTCGAGATATGACGATTTTGAAAAGCACAAAAACTTAAAATAAATTCCAAACAGATTTAATGATTATAAGCGATTCGCATAATTTTTAATGCCACCGCATATAATATATAAATGGTATTATTTGGGGGAGGGAAAGAAAAAAAAACGAAACGAAAAAGCGAAAACAAAAAAAAACAAACAAAAAAAAATCAAGAATATTGTAGTAAATGATAAGTTTCAGAGTAAATGTATAAAGCATTAAGTATATGCATGCTCATTGGAAACAATGGATGGTCTACTTGAAGTATTATTCGCATCGATTTTTTTTCATGAGTACGACGTTAGGAATGGATGATAAAAACCAGGTTATTCGGACGATGAGTCGAGATCCTTACGCTTTGCGTATATCCTCGTTGGTGCATCCGCGATTCAATCCGAGCGCGGCGTAGTAGTCGATACCAAGTAGGTTGCCACACTCCTCGTCCTTTTCATTCTCCATCCTATTTTCCCCGTTCCCTTTTCCTCTTTCTCACTCTCTCTCTCTCTCTCTCTCTCTTTCTCTCTGTCTTTCTCTCTGTCTGTCTGTCTGTCTGTCTCTCTCTCTCTGTCTCTCTCTCTCTCTCTCTCTCACTCTCTCTCTCTCTCTCCCTCTCAATCTCTATCTCTATTTATCAATCAATCAGTCAATCAATCAATATCAGTCAATGAATCAATCAATCTATTCATCTATCCATCTATCCATCTATTTAAATATATGTCTGTCTGTCTGTCTTTGTCTATCGTTGTTTCGACTTTCTCTCTACTTTCTTCCTCTTCCAGCCTGCAGAAAGCTCCGCGACTCAATAATAAACTTCGAGAAAACGCCGAGCCGTCCGAGAACGAAAGCGGCCGATCGTCACTTGTCGTCGCTTACATCGTGAAAATCGTCTCGATTGTTTTGGCCCTCGTTGCGTCAGTCGCTCGCCACGTGTGTTTTGTTGCACCAGAGGCAGGGAGGACAAGACCGAGCTTCTTGACAACGGCCGAGGCGATTGTCGCATTTTTTCAACAACCGCGATTGCCGCGCACAACAAGAGTAATAATGAAATAACGCGGGCACTCGTGCTTTCGTCTTTTCCGAGATTTCCCATCCACGCAGAAGCCGGTTGTAATCCGCTCGTAGGCAAGAATAACTCGTCCGACACCTTCCCCAATTGTTGCACGAGCTTTTCCGGCATGGAGAAGCACAAAGTCCTCGTGAGCTTTGTAGAAAAAGGTACGGGATCCTTTCACTCCATTTCTTTATTTACGCTCAAACCAAGATTGCCCTTATTTCTCACGACTCCTATTCATTTACACATATCCTTTGTTTATTGTCGGCACCGGCCCACTAGATTCGCTACCTTTAAACCTTATCTTTAATATAAATACGAAATATTATATAATAATGAGTTGTTTTTTTCAACGATTATAAAGTAAATTATTAGAATACGGATATTTCACGGATGATGGGTATTATAAATATTCTATTAGCTATGACTTTGTGCAATTTCAAATATTAATGAAATAGTTGTAAAGCCAATGATTTAAGAATGAACATATTTTCTCCTTCAATTTTTATATTATTATAATAAAATTGATGAAATATATATATATATATTTATTTTTATTTTTTATTCATGTTGTAAAGAAATACATTTAATAGATTGTGAATAATGTTTAGATGATTATTGATGAAAATTTTAAGAATAACTTAATATAACATAATTACTTTTTATTTGAACGTTCTTTTTTTTTCAAATTTTTTTCTTTTCTTTTTTTTTCTTTTTTTTTTTTTTCATTTTATTTATTTTCCATATTACGGTTAATTTCAACGTTTACAATAGCAATTGTTATTTATATTTTCGATAATTAATGAATAAATTTGTCTTTTCACGGCATATGTACTCGATCGACGCGATACCCATAATTAGTTCTCGTTTATTATAAATATATTTGATAAAATATATTATTTTGCCATAATAATTGACATAATCGATCGATTCTTTCAACCAATATCAATATAAGTAGAATTTTATTTTATTTTTTAATGATTAGGAGATAAAAACAATGCGAATTATTTGAAATACTCTATAGAAATAAAAATGCTTTAGAGCGACAATGTCAACGTGAAATATCACGTAGAATAGATTAATTTGTTCTGAAATTAAAAAAAAAAAAAAAAAAAAAAAAAAAATTATATCTATCAAGGGATAATATTTACTATGAGAGAAATGCATAAAGTATTGAAATGAATAATTGAAAAGAGCACAATGGGCTGAAAGATCAATTTAAAATGTATTTAAATGCTGTTTCAATGTTGAAAAACTACCTCAAAGCTTGCAGAATCTTCAAATCCATAAGTGAGGAATAGTCTAGCGCGGCTTAAATATGCCGTATATCATCAGGGGGGAAAAGGCAAAGAGAAAAGAAAGAAAAAAAAATTAGTAATAGGAGAAAGAATAATTGCAAAAAGAGTATTCGAAAGGGATGAGTAATGGGGGGGGGGGGAGAATTTTCTCGGAAAAAGAAACTCGGCAAAGCTTTCGATCCCCCACAGCGACGAGACAGCGCGGAGAATCACACCTGGAGAATCATTTGATGGGACTGACATCGGAGGAGAAGCGCTTGATGCGACTGCAACCGGAGCAACAACACCACCAGCAGCATCACCAACAGCACCATCACCATCACCAGAAGCAAAAGCAGCAACAGCAACAGCAACATCAGCATCAGCATCAGCATCAGCATCAGCATCAGCATCAGCATCAGCAACAGCAACAGCAACAGCAACAGCAACAGCAACAACAGCTCCAGCGACAGCAGCAGCAACAGCAACAGCAGCAGCAGCAGCATCATCATCATCAGCAGCACAGCTCAAAGAAGTGTCAGCTGATCGGTGTCCTGACAGAGAAGAACAGTCTGGTGACTCGCACCGAGGAGACGACGAGACGGCAAATACGACTGGAGCCCAAGCCCACGAACGCGGTCGTCGCCCTCCAGCTGCACCTCGACGACGAGAACTTGAGCGGCAAGACCGGGGCCAGCATAGGGCCCGTGAAGCAGAGGATACCGCGACCGGCCAACGCCTTCATGCTCTTTGCCAACGAGTGGCGCAAGAAGCTCGCCGTCGAGAATCCACGGGAGTCCAACAAGGACATTAGCGTTAGGCTAGTTGCTTTCCTTTCATTTATCTATTGACCCTCCATCCTCTCCCTTTCTTCTCACCTCTCGTTCGCTCCACCCACACACCGCGGCCAACGTCATATTGATACAATAATTGTCTACGGTCATTCTTCACGTTCTCTACTGCACAATCTCTTGTTTAATGTAATTTGAGCATACAAGCCTCGGAAATTTACGGCCCAAATTCAAAATAATATACACATATATGCCTGCGTCACTAAATATAAAAGATTGTTTAGCCTTGAATTATCTTACTGCAGTTTAATTCATTAGCATGTTTATGACGAGGCGCAAGAGTATCTGTCGTTTTAAATAGGAAAATAAGAACGCAATGCCACTTGAATATAATTTAATTAAATGGAATGAACAAATATATAGTTAACTTTCAACGTAGAAAAACGAAATATTCCATTAACACATTATCATTATTTGTTATCATTATTATCGTTACTATCATTGCCATTTTTCATTATTATCATTATCATCGTTATTGTTAACATTTTTATTATCATTATTCTCGTTGTTATTATTGTTTACGCAATGCCACTTGAATATAATTTAATTAAATGGAATGAACAAATATATAGTTAACTTTCAACGTAGAAAAACGAAATATTCCATTAACACATTATCATTATTTGTTATCATTATTATCGTTACTATCATTGCCATTTTTCATTATTATCATTATCATCGTTATTGTTAACATTTTTATTATCATTATTCTCGTTGTTATTATTGTTTTTGTTGTCGTCGTTGTCGTCGTTGTCGTCGTTGTCGTCGTTGTCGTCGTTGTCGTCGTTGTCGTCGTTGTCGTTGTTGATCGTTGATCGTTATTATCATTACCATTATTATTACTATTATCATTATTATTACTATTATCATTATTGCTACTATTATCATTATCGTTATCATTATTATTATTATTATTATCACTTTATATTATACATTTTTCTTTCCAAAGTGTTTATTTTTAATACAATATCCGCTATTATATAACATTGTTGAATTACGTTGTGAATTAATGCGCGCATTGTTTCTTGACATTTGGAAACAATCCGCTTGTCATTTATATCAGGAATAATCATGCGGCGGGAATATCGATTGAGCATGAAGCAATAGAATTCTTTTCTAATTTTTCCAACGTACCCTCCTATTCATTTAAATGCATAACATTTGAAAATTGATAATTATCTAAAATATTATAATAGTTTGCTGATTATTATTCGCTACGTAACTATCTTATTTCAAAACAACGTTATAAATGTTCTAAAGTAAGATAAACACATAATATTTTGTTAATTTAGGCTAGGACTTCTATGGAAGAATATGTCAAAAGACGTTAAAGAAAAATACTTCGCACTAGCACGCGAAGTAGACGCCGAACACAAGAGAAAGTATCCAGGTTCGTTTCAAAATAAAACATAATTTCTATCTATTCAACTAAAATGCATCGCCGATTATTAATATGTATAGTGCGATTTTACATATGCCACATAATTGCCAAAAATATGCAAAATTCGCTCGAAAAGTAAAATTTAATAATTTATATTCCAATATTGTTGTGGTTTAACGCTAAAACAAAAACGAAAGAAAAACCAGACCCTGTCGACACTGCCTTTGCATTGACAAAATTTTCTTTTAATTTTATTTAATAACTTTTAATATTTAAATAGATTCAACGACTAGATAATTCAAAGCGATTCACTTGTTAAAAGAATTATTTTCGTCCCTTTTTTTTTTTTTTTTTTTATTTTTATATTACACGCCTATAAATAAACCTTCAATTTCAAATCGTATAAAATTTTTCTCTTCTATGCAAAATTAATGGAGCTTGAGCTATAATTTCTTATGTAATATCGATGAATTATAGCATTTGCACAATAGTTTGAATAATGACAAATCAGAACACTTTTTCTTCATAAATACATTCGAACGTTAAATAAATAGGAAGAATCTTCTTTTTTTTTTTTAATTAAATTTATCGGTTATATAAAAGAGACACGCATTAATTCTTCATCTTCACCGTACATCGAATTAATTATGAAATCTAAAATGTAAAGGCAAAGTTTCAATTCAACGGAGAATGCCATTCTTATTATATTCAATTGCAATAAACAATATAATATGACTGAGCACACATTACAATCCAAAATTTAAAATAATCATATCGCGATATCATTAATATATCGTTAGACATATTGCTAAGCTAATCAGCTGACATTAATGAAAATATTATAATCCATGAGAAAATCAGCCATCTGAGCATATCGCAAAGCATTTTTGCCATACATAACCTTTCATAAAGAATTTTATGGGCAAAAGCATTTAGTATGCGTACGGCACTACTCGGGCATATGTAAAATTAATGAGAGAGAGAGAGAGAGAGAGAGAGAGAGAGGGAGAGAGAGGGAGGGAGGGAGGGAGAAATTAAAATTTTCATTAAAGATAATTTAAATGAGCACCGAAATGAAAAAAAAAAAATTAATGTCTCATGGGCTTGACTCGCAGCATCAATGGCCTATGAATCAATCCCACGATCAATAAATATCAATTAACGTTGTCTTTGAGCAAGCTCCAGGCGTCATCTGGCATTCCAGCGCGTGGCATGTCTCGCCGCGACGTCTTCCCCTCCCCTTTCACCTTATAAAATCATCCATTACTCCCACCCCAATCATCACTTGAAAGTTATATCCTCCGCGACAGTGGCAAAAGCGAAATTCTGGCGCGAGGCTCAAAGGCTGCGGCGCGCAAAAAAAGTGGAAAGCGCGTCCGCTGATGAAGCCGACGCGCATCAAGTCAAGGAAAATTAGAGGAGAATTGTCGCGCGTAGGCGCGCGCGCGCCAATGCACCGCAAAATCAATACGCAGCCGACGTAGACGCACACGAGGCGGCCGCAGCGTCGGTCAGTCAGCGTCAAAGGACGCAGATGCGGCTTTTTCCCTTTTGCGAGCCTCTTCTGCACTACTAGTCCACGTCGCGACACGTGGCATCTCCGTCCCGATGAGACGATGACGAGCCAAGAAGTGAAGTGCTAACTTCCTTGCGCTCATCCTCTTCCTCTCTCCATTCGCTCGCCTCACTCACTCTCTCCCTCTTATTTTCTGGCAGGCGGGTCCTCCCGCGCTTCGTCATTGACGGGGATTTAATGGCTCCGTATGCTCGTTCCTGCGGGACTCGAGGGCCATATTTTTCGGGCTCCCGAGCAGGAATCGATGATCGCGGGGGTACGGGAGCAGAAGATGATTAGACGCCGGAATCGAGAGCCGACGAGCTCCGAGCGCGAGACTAATCGGCCAATCAGACGATATCAATTGCACGCGTCCCCACGCTTCCAGGCAATCAAATTGCCTCAGATACAGGAAAGCGAGCGAGGAGACGTTATACGCTTGGGATCGCTGCAGCCTATCGATATATATCGACTATTTCTCAGGCGTATCCTGAATCCCTCGACGCCCCTCCCCCACCCTATCTCAGACTTCCATAATAATCACCTCCCTTTTTACGTCCTCGATCAAATTAACAAGTGCCTGCAGCTCATTGACCATGACCCTCGCCTCTATTATATATTGATTTATATATACATGTGTGTGCGTGCGCGCGCGCGTGTGTGCGTGTGTTCATATATATATATATATATATATATATATATATATATTGATTGTTTATCGTTATTTAATATTAATTGGAAAGATTATTGTTATTAAGGCCATAATACCACAGTGGCCTTTTATCCTGTACTGATTTTATGTAAATTTTCCCACCGGAAGACGTATTTACTTCCTTTGAAATATTAGGAGCTTAATTTTCTTGCGCGAAATTGATGAATATATTATGCTTTATGATAAATTCGTTATTATTATTCAAGTTGTTTTCTTTTTTTCTTTGCCAGAATTTGCCGCAATTACTGTAATTACAGCAGCTTAAGTAGCTAGAGCAGAGAGCTTTATTAAGCGTCTTATAAGTTTATTTCTTTATTAACCAAATAGATTGTACAACATTTAATTGCCCGGTTTAAATTACTTAAGCTTAACTAAAATATTATATTTTACAATATTAATGACTGACTAAAAGAATGAAGGATGACATGTATGGGTGTGGGCGTTCGTGCTTTCGTGCGTTCGTGTCTGTGAGCGTGCGCGTGTTTCTGCGTATCTCTACATTAAGTACAGAAGATAAAAAATATATGAGCGATTCTTTAAAACTTCAAAAGTATATTTCACTTACTTACTATCTTTTACCTATTAAAACTTGAAAGTTATGCTAAAATATTATTTAATCTCATATACGTAAGCAGTACAATGCAATTACTTTTATCATATCAAGTAGCTTAAACAAATTTTCTTCATATAATAATATATAAAGTTAGAATTTTAGAAAAATTTTGATGTTTCATCTTTTTTTACAATTTTCTCTATTTTGTTTTAAACTTATCGTCATATTTACTGGTCACATTAATTATTGAAAAACAAAGCAAAACAAAACAAAAGACAAAATAAAATAAAACAAAAAACAAACTTGAAAAATTATTATGAAAAAATTTTAATATATCTTATTTATTAAATAAATACTATGCATTAAATAATTTTAATAATTCTCCAAATTAAATAATTCTACTATACTATATATAACTATTAATACTTTATTTTTCTATATAAAATAAAAGCACACATTTCGTAATATTAAAAATTATATTATAATTTTCCGATAAAAAATTATAAATATTATATGTAAATTTACACATTCTTGAATCTGTATCTGCATAATCAAATAGTGGAATGAATTTTAGAATATAATATATCGATTGAATTTTTTTAATCGACGAATGTCGTCTTAGTGTAGATATAGATCATTTTAATATACTATTAAGCAAATATTCCACTGAATATTGCTGAAATAACCGAACTCTCAACAAGTAATAATATTTCGAAGAAATATGTAAAAGTTAATGCTGTTTCATGATTGTAATCGATCGGTTCAATAAGTCATCGCGTAAAATGAAAATTTAAAACAAGTAACAGCAGCTTACATTTCCTAAGAATAAAAATAGTTAAAATTATAATATTTAAATATTAAATGAGTGTATTTTGTAATAAAGTATCAATTTATGTTTTTGAAATTCAATTTTGCAAATAACAATTATAGGACGATATTTGAAATTTTGAAAATTTTGTATTAGAAAAAGGCGATATTGAATGTGACAAAATATCGATGTCATTAAGTGAATTATAATGCTTATTTTACATATAATATTAACAACTAAGGAAATTATTGTACAAAAGAATTTCTAAAGATGTTAAATTATATGATGAAATAGCTAAAATAAACATAACTTTAACGAACGATAATTACAATTACATTACACTGATACGCACATTTTTTATTATCTAATCTATAATTTAAGGGAAGAAATTTTTCTTTTATTCGCGTTTGATTTATTTCACAATATATAATTATAGATCTTCCATGCAAATAATTTTAAATGTAAAAAATAATTATTTATCTTCAAATGTTAATATACTTTAATGAACGTATTGTTCATAGTCGGTATAAAGAAAGGCCGATTATTTATGTAAATGTTGAATAACAATACATAATAACTACGTATTTAATGATTAATTCTTACATATTTATGTATATTCTTTCGGTGTACCTTAATAAGGGAAGCCATTCTAATACGCAACTAATGTTCAAATGAAGCTAATGCACATCGATTGTACGGTAGTAAACTAAGAATATTGCACAGTTGCATGACCGTTCATATTTAAACGACATGGCTACATTAATATGGCAGTTGTACGGAAAATATAAATATGTAAATTTTAATGTATGATAAAATTGAAGAAGGAAAAAACATTGTCTAAACGAGACCAAGTACAGTCGAATAACGTAGGTAGCCTTACGTCGATTGCTGAAAATTTTTAGAAAATAAGTGACCAAAGTAAAAGATATAAAATTCATAAAACAGAAGAGCTATCGAGTCCCCGGCTCAAAAAATTTCTTTACTAACTTCTAAATGTCCAATGCCATTGTTATAAAGTGATAGGTCGCAATATTTATTTATTGAATTAGTAAATTGATATACGGAAGCGCGAGGAGGTGGCAAATGCTAAAACACGGCCTTCTTAGATCATATTTGCGATTTTCACACTATGAATTACGAGAGAGAAAAGTGACGTTAAAGAGCGCGGAATTGTGCGTCGTTGAATCGTGTATTGTTGTTTACGTAGCCAGACCGCAATCGATCTACATCGGTTACTTTCATGAACTGTATTCACACCTCGAGGCTTTTTAAACAAGAATTGAAATAAAAAGAAAAAGAAGAGGAAGAGGAGGAGGAAGAAGAGGACGAAGAAGAAGAGGTGGTGCAGTAGGAGGGGGACGGGGATGGGTGATGATGATGA